GCTGGCTCTTCTTGTGGTTCGGTACGGGTAATTGGGCGACTGACGAGAGAGACTGAATGAAGGTGACAATGATGGCAAGGTCTCCGAGGCAGTCGTACTCTCGCTCCGAAAGATTGTCTCGCTCTAGCGGATGGGCTCGATGGAGATCTTCTAGCTTCTGAAGCCACTGCGCAGCCCCGGACCAATTTGTATCCTCCTGGCAGAGTCGAAGAATGTAGTGTAACTGCGGGTTCTCTACTGTTAAAGACTCGGGGCTTCGCTTCAGTAAGATGCGCGTAACGTCGTCCTTCTGTACGGTCGACATGCGCTTGAACCACTTGCTGCCTCCCATGCCGACGGCCACACCACGTTTGAATCCATTCTGAGCGCGCAGATACTCCAGGTGACAAGTGTTCGAAAGCTCCTTGAGGATAGTCGCTCGGAACTGTTTGTCTGATGATTCCTTCAGCAAATCCATGAGACGGCCAATGTAGTTCCATGTGGCAGCAATCTTTACCACGCTCTGGACGACATCGAATACAGTACCGCTGATGTATTTATCTGTATGTACAGGCAACATCCGGCCCTTCTCATCGGCGACAAGTTCCGGCCTACTGAAGAAGCAAAAGTTGACTTCATCGGCTAGGACCGTGGGCTCAGTGGAGATGAGACTAATGAGATCTTCACGCGACGACACCTGATCGTGAGCCATGTCGAGGAGGTCTGGAAGTTCGACCTTCTTCGGAGTCGAGTGTACGGATAACTTTGCTAGAGCTGCAGTCGCCTCGTCGGCTGGCTTCTTCGGGCGCTTTTCCTGGGTTCGCGTGGTAGACGCGGTATCGAGAATGTCTTCAATGCTAATATTGAGTAGCTGCAGCAGGTTCGTCTGTCGCATGAGGATCAACTCGCCAGTAGCTTGTGGTACTATAACCTGAGCTTGCATGGCCGGCTTCATATTCGCTAGAACTTCCTCTCGCTTTTCCGCGAGGATCTTGACTGATTCGCCATAGCCGTCCTCTGTCAAGAAGAGCGTATAACAGTCCTTGAATTGAGCGGCATCTTTGAGTTGTAGATTCTTTCTCTGCATCATGTCGACTATGTGTGCGTGATCGCCTGGACGTCCGTTGAACCCAGTCGCGTATTGGTCTTTGAGTGGTAGGGTTGCCCGGTGCCTTAGCATGTCGAGGAAGAAGTCTGATGAAGGGGCAGTGATGTCGCGTATATTCCATTCGGGAATAAACTTGTAGACATTCTCTAGACTCGTATCTTCAGCATGCTTCAGGACAACGCCATCACGAGAGCCAGCCTGCAAGATCTTCTTCCGTTGTTGTTGACTGAGCGAACGCCACATTTCTTCGATGCGCGGGCCATGCTGTCGGTACTTGTTGGCAAGATCGCGATGGAGTTCCCTGAGTGTTTCGTTCATCTTGTCTGCGTCGGTGGGAGTTGACGGTGGGAAGTGTGATTTGCGGAGGTTTTATTTGTCGTGTGTTGATCCAGGCACAGCGCTAGGCATCTCCCTGTCCAGTCAGCGCGCTGCACTATACCCACACAGGAATAGACCAATTGCTCCAAGTGATGAAAAGCAATCGCGATCACAGTGGTGAGTAGGTCAGAATATCCTAAGTGAGACAAGTCGTTGCAATGATCTGGAATTCTGATTTATTTTGTGACCCACGAGAAGGTGTCAGCTTCTTCATTCAAGGAGTCTGGAGGCCGTCCTGTAACAGCACCTAGGTAGACAATGGCGCGAGACCTCATAGTTCACAAAATCACATATCCAATACTGCACAAATCCATGGATTTTCTTTGGTTCCCACTTACTTTATGATCATGTATAGGTACATTATCCAGGAGCACTCGCGTAGCTGTGTGTACCTGCTTTGGTCTTCACTTTGAACATGTCGCGCCCGTTTTATGCACGGTTACGCAAAGGTGCATCACCTAAATGATGGGAACTGCCTATGCGCATCACAGGGTCCATGGGCTTCACCTACAAAGTTTCACCTCGCGTCTCATTGCATCTTGCTCTTGACTTAGACTTTCAGCTTCTCACAGGTGGATTCACATTGCGTTCTGACACTTCTGTTCAAGCTTGCACAGATGTTTCTTCGGCTTCTTGCATTTTTCGCTCTTCTCATTTTGACAAACGCTGCTCCGACGTCCTGGGATATGGGAATACTGCCACGCAACTTAGATACCAAATCCCAAACTGCGAACCAAACGCTGTCCACAGAGGCAATAATTGGTATGTTTGGCGTGTTCGTGGCCGTCTTGGGGATCGCATCTTCCCTAGTGTGGTCGAAACGGGGAAAGTCGCGCGGTCGATCATGCCAGGCACCTGCACACTCCGCTCTACCTTGTACGCGACTCCAAAGTCATCCTATCTAAGCACTGGAAGCTGACCACTCGAATTGCGCTCAGATTCAATACCCTCCGACTGCTCCAGACAGGGAACCACTCTGACGTCGTCGCAACTAGCCGATGCTTGGATGCGCACAGCTGGCCGCAGCGAACGAATATCGCAGCACATACAGTACTTCGACATTCAGTACGAACGCCTGACAGTGCGTAGTTTGCTACGATGACGAGTCGTTGGGTGAAATCCGGCGTTAGACGAGCAATGCATCTATAGTCCACACCGTGTCTCCACTGGACAACTTCTGAGCTTGTGGGGTCAAGTAATAAGACGCGAAGGATGCGGTACCGTCATTTATGCAGTACTGGTCCAGTTCTGGGTCTTGTGCAGCGGCAGTCACAACCTTTGGTGAGAGAAAGCGGAACAAATTACCGTCGCGGGGCCACTTGCCATCGCTGGAACTTCTCGGCGCACGGTCTTGTTGCCGGATCTTCGCCTTAACGCTGGCGTATTTTACGATCCCAAAACCTCCTCCGAGCCCCGCATAGTCTTGTTGGCACCTGTTTGAAGCACGCCGCCCGCATGTTCCCCACACTGGCGTGCACTGCATTGCGAAAACCTCCTCCGAACTTCATACGAACGCTGTCTAGCCAATCAGAGGCCGAGCCGAAGATGGACAAAACATCTACGAAAACCTCCTCCGAACGGCACGAGAATTAGTGATCTGCCCACAATTCATATAAAATGTCTTCCTCACAGCGCTCACTCCGCTCTCACTCCATTCGACTATCTCTCTCTTTCTTGCTATCTCAAAGTATCAAGATCTTTGCTCACTTCCTAATCGCTTCAAGATGGCTCCTCACAGACTGCAAGTCGCTGTTGCCGGTCTCGGCCGCATGGGCGCCCGACACGCTTTGAACATCTTGAACAAGACCCCCCGCGCTGAGCTTGTCGCCGCATTCTCTCCAGATCAACAAGAGCTCAAATGGGGCAAAGAGCACCTCGAGCCATACGGCGTGACACTCTACGACGACTACAAGAAGATGCTCGCGCACAAGGGTCTTGAAGCTGTAGTGATCGGCACTGCAACCTCGGTACATGCCGAGGAGACTCTCCAAGCTATCGAGAAGGACCTACACGTCCTTTGCGAGAAGCCTCTCTCCACTAGCGTCCAGATTTGCCAGGATGTCGTCGATGCAGCTGCGAAGAAGCCGCATCTCAAGGTCATGTGCGGGTTCTCCAGACGCTTCGACGACAGCTACCAAGATGTTGCGAAGAAGATTGAGGAAGGCGCAATCGGCAGACCAACTGTTGTCCGGTCACAAACCTGCGACAGGCAACACCCTGATCCAGGTACGAAATGAAATAACTCATATCTTGATGAGCTGCTTACTGACTGTCTCGCCTAGACTTCTTCGTTCAGTACGCTGCATGGTCTGGCGGTGTATTCGTCGACATGTCCGTGCACGACATCGATCTAACTCTATGGTACTTCGGCTCCAATGTGGTACCAAAGTCCATCTCCGCGAACGGTGTTGTCGCCATCCTGCCAGGTCTCAAGCAACACAAGGACTATGACAACGCCGTTGGTATCGTTGAGTTCTGGGACGGCAGAATCGCACACTACTACGCCTCTCGCATGATGACGCACGGTCAAGAGGATGTTACCGAGATTATCGGTACCGAGGGAAAGCTGACCGTCAACCTCAACCCCCAGAAGAACCTCGTCAACTACTACTCAAAGGCCGGCATCACCCGAGAGGTACCCAGCGACTACTGGGGTCGATTCGAGCCTGGCTTCGTCAAGGAGGCGAATGAGTTCACTGCGGCGTGCTTGGACAACACCCCTGTACCATTGGAGTTCCAAAACGCTGTCAAGGCTGTGCAGATCGGAGCTTGGTTGCAGGAGGCACTTGTCAGCGGGAAGCAGATTCGATTCGACGAAAGTGGCAAGCGTATCGATCGCGCAAACTTGTAGACTGGACATTTGCGTCGATCAGATGGAGCAGCTACAGTGAAACACTTACGTTTCCGTTCACCAATACCACCGCACTTCTACACCGTCCATTAGCTCTACTCCGTCTTTTGTTAATGTAAGCTTGCACACATACGCGTGTCGCTTTCTTCTCTCGAAGCCTTATCATTACCTACCTGGTGATCGCATATGCCGCAAAGCGTCAGCTTATCATGTTCTCGAAACCTGCGACGTGCGAAATCCGCTACCTGCCTAGATCGCTTCACCACATTCAAAGAAAGCTACAAACACCCTGCAGTCTACATCAGTATTAAAATAGACTTTGGTAAAACTTAACGCAATGTAGACTTCTTGGATACGTATTTCTTGTACCTGCTGTTGGTGGCTATGGCTGTGTACCTAGGTATTCTTCCCCTGGTTTGATGTGGCTTGTGGATTTACCCCTCAGTCAGCTCCCTACCACAGCCAGTGACAGCCGTCCTGCAATTTAACGCCGTGCCAGCACTCAGCCCCATACTGTAGGCTGTGCCTCTTATCGGTCTCATCGCCCCAGCTGGCGAGGCGCACTTATTTCAATCTTTCGAGATCACTTCCGCTTGATTTTCCACCTGAGCTTCTTCCAGAGCCCTCCACTACAACTTGGGGCCCGGACATGTGCTCGTGATGTCGGGCCTCCCCTCCAAACTAATGTCCGTCTTCTCTGCTACCAACGAGAACTATGCTGCGCTAGCGAATATCAAGTTCGATTTCTCCCTCGTCAAAATGGAAGCGCCAATCGAGTTTAGTGGTATTGCTTCCGGGCTCTCTACCAGAAGACGAGTTGAGGCTGAAGAAGGCCCTTCCCACAAGACAGCACGTCGGCTGGGGGCTTTGTTCGAAGATGTTGTGCCATCCACGCCAAAGCTAATATCTGCATACGGGCGGCGAATGTCGGAGATCATAAATGCCTCTGGAGTCAACGACATCGGCGCTGGTCAGCATGGACCGTTCGAGCCATATGTTGGAGCAGATGTTACGACTCTCTGGGCTGCGGCAACATCTGGGATACCGGCTCTGGGCGTGTATCTCCTCAGTTGCCTATTGGCTCGCGCTTGGGACGCGAAAGTAGCTACAGCAATATGGGTGGAGATAGTTGCAGCAAGAAAGATCGAGATCGAAGAAGGACTCAAAAGCAACGGCAACGTGTCTGCCACCTCGCTCCTTGGTGCATGCCAAGACATCACCAGAAAAGACCTTGCTTTGTGGGACAGTAGTGCAAGAGCCTGGCTTCGCAGAGCGGACAAATCGAAACAATTTGCGCAACGTCAACTGTCGCTCATTGTTAAAAACATCAATACTCCAATCCCCGGGGGTCCTTCAACCTACGACCAAGTCATGAACGTGTGGAAGCGATCAATGCTGGCTGTCGAGCAATTTCTGACCGGCAAACCACAGGACATCATCGACGGATCGGTATTCGTAGCGTTTTCTGCGTGGCACCTCTACCCAGACCTGATCGTGTTCACACCTGAACCCAAGAAAGTTGAGTTTAAAGATAAACTCGTCCCTTCCTTTGGAGTAGGCACTGTTGGTGTAGAGCATAACCGGAGATCTTCGGAAGGAGAAGGTGTGCAATGGTCACTAGCACTATCACACCTACAGTATTATGGCGCTCCAGTCGTAGTCAGCAGCAACCAAGAAAGTTCGAGAGTGACCTTTCGTCAACTACAGATCGTCGCGTTGGGTGGCCTGCTTGGTAGATGGAGGGTCAGTTCACGGGACTATAAAAGAGTAGCGGAATGGTTTGTTCTCCTGTGGTCTCGACTGGGAATGTCTGAAGAAGACGTGAAAGAAGGCAAATCCTCCGAATTCGGATGGCTCCTACCTTTTGTAGTAGCGGCAAACCAGCTTCTAACTACGAACGATCAAGATCGCAAACGTAACGAGACATTGTTGAAACACGGGACCAGGAGAGCAAAGTGCTTCTTGTCTAATCAAGAGCTTACCCCTTCGCCATTCTTTGGTCTACTCAATACCCTCGTAGTGTGTGGACTTCAAGAAAAGCTCGACATCGACTCTGGCATTGCTTACCTTCGTGCCGTAGCGGAGAAGCTGAAACTAGACGGAAGCGATGCAATCATCTGTTACGCTCACAGCGCTTCAAATGTACACACTGCTGCAGCAATCGACTACTACGAACTTGCCACAGTACAGAAAGCCAACTCGGACAGTCATACGACGTGGATTTGCCCGAATGGCGCCAACTCGAAGTTTCTAGAAGACAGGATACATTCCATCGCCGGTCGAGGTGAGCTGTGCATCCGCTGTGCAAGCCGGCCAGACTTCGATGGGAATACCACTCACTTCAGATGGGCGGATCCGCCACTACCCTACCAACCAAACTATTCGACCATCGCGCGTCACCATGAAGATGAGAGTCGCCAATCCAAGAAAGTTAAAGTAGAGATCGGCTTCGACGCTATTCTTGGTGATTCACGTCTGGGCCTGTTTCTCCAGAGCGAGGCGCGTAGTGTAACGCGTAGAGGACGCGATCCATTACGGTCCTATCAAGAAGAGGCGAGACTCGAGACCATGAAAACAGACACTCTCTCAATCTCGGTAGAAAAGTTCAAAGAAGCGAAAATGCAATCAACCCGATTGAGAGATTACATGTGTTCTTTGGTACACCTCAATGAAGAAGAATCGATGTACAACTCTCTCCGAGCCCCCGGGGTGTCATTGTTCTCAGGCTTCCACAAGTTTGATCTTGGCTTCAGCAAATCGCTGTATGCTCTGGAGTTAGCTTCATACGTGTACACCGACCTCGTCCATGCTACAATCTCGTTGAAACTGATAACTCTGCATCTATCGGATGCTGCGTGGTTCAAATGTTTGTTCGACAGATGGAAGATTCGGGGCAACAACTCAGATCTCCGGTTTGATGGAATGCCACTTCTCACTTCGTTACGAGCTCCGCTGCCCGATCGAAACGAGTCGTTTGGATGTATAGCTCTGCTTGACTCGGGAGTGGTCGATCTCGTTCCCGAGGACTTCAGCCATGCATTTGCTCTATGCTCAGAAGACACAATCTACGTACCAGCAGTTGTATTATCCGATCCATTCGTCTCAGTAGCAGACCACGAAATGAGAAGTATTACGGGCAACATTGGCCGCCAAGGCATTTCGATACTGGTCTCACCTGTCGAACCCCGAATTCGCGAACTCAGCAACAACTATGAGCTGGTATCGCACGAGCCATACGATTTCAAACGTGAAGACAACTTTGGTGCAACCTCATTACACCTGTCTTTCACCGACTGGACAGTGCCCCTCGCAACCGAAGATACGCGCATGATAGACCATGATGCCCACGCAGTAGAAGCCGTCATATCTATCCACGACCGCGGTGTTTGGGTCGGCGACATCAACATTCTGGACGTCGATTTTCGAGATATGCTCCGGTTTAAACCAATGACGTCTTGCAAAGGAAACCATGGCCAAGATTGCGACGTTGACTACACATCCATCGACAGCTGGGAAGAGTTGCTGGATGAGCCTAATGGCGTTGGCGTTTTTAGAGCGCATGGAAATTGGGCCGCACGGCTAGCTGCAGTGAGTATCCTGTCACGAGGTCAGACTGGAGGTTATAACTTTGGCGTTCTTGGACCTGAGCCTTTGTGTTTGAGATGTCTGGAGGAAGAACTGGAGAAGCCTGCATGGAATATGCTGGACTACGAGTCGAAGCTGCCTTCATTCTGTATAGACTGATATCCTTTTAGTCAACGCGCAAGATAACAAAGACGTAACAAGAACGAGACAACATAGGATAGATATCTTTTGAGCCTGCGGGCGCACACTGCTTCGCATATATAACACATGGATAAAAGGAGTATGCAATCCGAGGAACACCAAGAGTTGATGGCGAGTGTGGTATACTTGGCGAGAACGGAAGATATGACAGGCGGGTAACAGAATTAATGCGAAGAGTGTTCTAGAAGCTGCGAAGCTCCTCGGACTTGACCGGACAAGCATTGTTATTTCGCCGCTATAAAGGTTTTCCAAAATTGTCGGTGTCTCCCTCTGAGTACGAGTCATTTGGAGAATGGCCTTGCGGACACGCAAATTGGGGACCTAGTATGTGCTTTTGTTGATGGGCATGTTCTGTTCGTTTTGCGGCGTGAGAAAGGCCAATTTGGGGTGGGATGGTTTCGGAAATGGCGGAAAGAGAATTATCATCTTGTTGGTGGAAGTTACGTTCATGGAATGATGGATGGCGAATGTTGAGAGGGACAATTGCGCGTCGAAGATACCAGGTATTGTGTTGACATAATCTTTGATGTTTGCGACATTGCACACTCCTGCATTCAGACATGTTTCCGGTGAGCCCGGATAGGCACTTTTCACCGGTCGGTCGTACCATGCAAGTCAGACTTCTCTCTGATACGCCTGAGAAATGCGCATTCAGCCTGCTTCTTTGCACAGCCCTGCCCCTCGGGCTGTGTTCTAGGTTCAAGGTTTCGCCGATGCCCTCCAAGACGACGGGCAGATCAGACCTGCTCGCACCTCCTTGTTGTTACTATCGTACCCCGTGACCTCCAGCATCATGCAGGGTTCTAAGATCTCTGTACTGCTATTCGTCCAATTTTCCTCAGTCGATGCATTAGCGATTGCCTCGCTTGCTCGAAGCTACCCAGGCGCAGCCGTGCCCATTACCGGTGGCCAGCCTTGGTCAAAACAAGACGTGCTCACCCTTGTCGGTGTGTGTGTTGCAGTTGTCACTGTCATTATTGGATTGGTTGGCGTACTCATCGCGTCACCTAAAACCCGGGTGTGGCTGTGCAGACCCATCTATTGGCTCACAAAACGCGGGCTGCTTGGTAAGCACACTCTCCTCCCGATGAAGGCAGTATAGAGGCTCACTATCGTCAGATAAAGAGCATTCCAAAGCCGCACAGCTAAAACACCGACCTTCGACCATAAAGGACTGGAAGAGGAAGGACCACAGAAAGGTACATCAGCAGCTGCAAGATCACTACACCGAGCTGCTGAAGACGAGGAGGGGCCGTTTCTAAGTTACCAGGTTGCAGGGAAAAGAAAGAGTCGAAGAGGAGGAACGCAACACTGTACAATTCGTTCTGGATTTAGAGGCTATCGAGAAGCTGTGGTTAAGACGGGCGCACGAGATAGGCGAGCTTGTATATAATAGAAGGGTGTTTTGCTATTCTTCATTGAGACTCATGATATCACATAACAGAAGAACGAATGAAGACGTACTAGATGCCTTAGATCAAATGCCCTGACATCACAAGCCATGTTCTCTTAGTGTTCAAGGACTGTCTCTGGGCTCTCGGTGTCTTACAATGCGTTCGCAAGCATCCTGAAATGACGGAGTATAGATGAAAGCAACCTGTATCGATTAAGAAGACCACTAACCGTGAAGACACCCCATTTAATGGAGGATTAACTATCCCCTAGAGTCCACGTTGGTATCATAATTGAATTCAGCACAGTCTTAACACAATTCAGACTGCTAGGTGTTCAGATTTCCCCTCGAATAGAGTGAAGACGCCATTCGTCGGTTCTTCAGCCGCTTTGGCTGGACCTTTCGACAATCTATAATCACACTGTCGATGAACTCTGCTAGACAGACTCGGGGAACGTCTGCTGATTTCATCTCCAGTAACACGGAGCACTCGTGGGTATACAGCCTTGCCTAGCCACAAGTTCGATCTGATGGCTACATGACCGGGGGGCGTTCAGGTAGAGATCTGATTGGGTATGATCTGAGAAGCGAGACCCACTTGTCCTGAGTGGGAAAACTGGACACGTGAAGGGGTCGCACCTGTGCTCTTTTCACCAGATAATATATTAAATCGCGCGACGATGGGTTTGACTAGACACTGCAGAAATGTCCTCTCTCCTTGCTGCAGTATTCATTCTTCTTCCAATTCTTATCGACGCCTTCTCAATCCCACCTACTCGTGACGTGGACCTTACCCATCATCAGGGTCCCACTACTTTCGACCAAGCGCAAACTGGATGGTCGCGTCAAGACATCTTCACCCTCGTTAGCGTCTGCGTAGCGGTAGCCGGCATTCTGATTGGCCTGCTCCTTGCCTCATCAAAGTTACGCGAGTGGCTATGCCATCCTTTCAAATGTAAGCGGAATCCAAACCTCCTTCCATCTCAAGATCTCAACAAAGCTAATACTTTGTCATCAGACTGTGCGATCGTGGTTCGACAAAGGCGAATACGCCAGCAGATTGATGCAGAAAGGCGGCTGCAAGAGGAGTACAACGAGTACCTTGAGTTCAAAAGCTTTCGTGCAATGAGGGGTTCCTCGCAGTAGTAGCAAGGCACAATCGAGTGGTCTGGTCAAGGAAGATGTAGGAGAGAGGCCGCAGGTGCGTCATAGGAGTTTAACTTACTCGTTTCGCAACGCATGTACGGATGTCTTTAGCGTTCCATTAGTCTGAGCCTTCTTGTCAGCTCTTGGTATACTCTTGATTCTCTTGCGAATTGAACACCTCGTTCCCCAGTGTCTGCACTGTACACACTATTCCGCGTTGATGTTGACTGTGTTGCCGGCTCCCATTGGTTGCAAGGCAAATGCGCAATATGTAAGCTGTCGACAAAATGGCGGGACAGTATTGTATAACTACTGCCGTTGCCTACTCGTGACTCTGCAATACACCGTGACCTAAGACTTGCAGCCGTAGTACCGAGATGCGCGAATTCACAATCGTTCATCCAAAAGAAAGGCTGAGCTTGTCGCACCAACATGTATGCGATGAAGTTTTTCCAGAAGTATCGTACGAGAATCCGCGACGTAGCATCGTAAAGTGGGAAGTGTGCAAGTGCGCTGACGTCGATCCTGCTATAATTAGGCCCGGGGTGCCTGACTGTGGGGTGACTAATGCAACGTGCCGTGTGAAGCTCTTCATCAAGGCAGAATCGTGGGTACTGTTCGGGAAGGCGGACGTACGATGATAACGATGTTCGTATTGGACGCCTGGAGTCATATATAAGAGTGGAGGGGGTGCCGGTGAAAGAAGATCCCATCTCTTAGGTACCAACAAGTACTTCGAACCAATCTTCATCATGCACTTCACACAAACCGCTTTCGCTGCCGTTCTGGCAATCACGTCTTCAGCCGTCGCATCACCCCTGGCGGCCCGTCAGAGTGCGCTTCAGGACTGGCAAGTCACCAGGGTGAATGTCTACACTCCATCGGGGCGCCCTGGTAGCTACCCGTGGGCTTCCATCACAGCCGACGTGACAGACCCCAACGTGATCGATCTTGGTCCCGCAGTATTCGATAATACCACCGTTACCGCGCCAGCTGGAAGTCAAGGACTCGTACGTCTAAACTTTCCTGTCTCTTACTCCAGTACATTTGCTGACGTGTCCCTAGAATTGCAAAGCGCAATGGTATACCAATGGCGAGAACCCCTTAAACCGGACTTGGCCGTGCGATGGCACATCCGATGGCTATTGGGTCATGAACGTCCTGGAGGGAAGCGATGGTTTCGGAACTCGCGACTTCACCCTGAAGTTTACCCACGTAGCCGACGTCAAGTACCAGGGTGCGCAATACAAGGCGACGTATGAAGCGGAAGGTTACTTTACGGGCGGCCAGAACCTCGCTGGTTCATGTGGTGGAAGTGGAGTCTGCAGCTTTGGCTTGAAGAGCGAGGCGAAACCTTTTGCGATTACCCCAAAGAAGCTATAGAGGTTGGGAGATGAGAGCTTGGAAGGGATGATAGAGGTGACAGGATTCCCGTAGCTAGTATACCTGTGCAATGGATTAGTCAAGGTATGCTAAAGAGCCGTCCGCGAGATGAAATGCCAATCCAAACCTCAACACGCTTCCAACAAACCTCAACTACGTCATTTTTACGCCCTTGCTGCCAGAATAAGAAAGATGATTGTTTTCAATTGTTGCGCATCCGACAGTTCAAGGTGTTCGGGTGCTATGCATGCCATGGCTTCGCCCCAAGTCATGCGTGTGAGTAACTTCTTCACTCGTAGATGCAGGATAGCGTGGTAAGATACCGTCGCATGTTTTCAGGCGACACAGTTACAGTTTGTGTTTTGTATGGCCTTGCGATGCATCATGGTGATCTTATTCCCGCAGGGCCGTGCTGCTCGCCGTGGAAGGATGACGATCGGTTGACGTCTTCGCTCGGTGATCGACATCTCCCATTGCTGCTGGACATGACTGAGAATCATAAGAACATTGCGCAGCTCCAGGATTTGGTGTAAGTGCCGTGGTCAGAATGCGCACTCTTAGTTGTACGCGCCATCGGAAGTGGCCGGCGAAGCTATCAGGGACGCGCTTGCTATCACGCATCAGCATCGCGACTTCCGTCAGTTGCCGGCGCACTCCGTCAGCAGCCCCAGATATCCACGAATCCCTCTGGAAATCATTACTACGGCGATACTGCGCAGAGATAATTCGCGTCTACTCGTCTTCTAGCCCACTGTTGCTCAGGGTTTGCTGTGCTGATCGGGCGAGTTAGTGCTAACGGGCTGGGTTATCCCCGCATCTCAGCTCCGGACTTGGCACCGTCACAAGCTTGGAGCTCCCCTCCCCCGAACGTGGGCCTGGCGTTTACCATTCACGGCCAGCCGACTAGCCTGCATCAGTCTGCCGACCCAGAAGATCCTCGGCCCAGACGTCAAGATGGGTGACGTCTGTATCATGAATATATTATCTGCCGACCGCCCAGCCCTCTCCGCACGCTGCATATCCCATTGCATTCCTC